AATTTCATTCTTTTGATTGATAACATCTAATTTATATTTCTTTTGTAATATAATCCCAGGTCAGCAAACATTGTCTATCATCACTAAGTGTATCATAAATACAATTATCATTAAATTCAAAAACTTATTCTCAGATAAATTATTTTTCAATAATTATGTTTCCATTACATTAATTTCTACATCTTAATAAGTTAACACTTTTGCCATTCTTAATCATAAGAATGCATTTTTTAAATCAAAAATTTTGATATCAAAAGATTAACTGTATAACTATATGTTTGTTTTTCAAAATTTGCCCTTCAGAATTACTTGTAAATTTTATGAATATTCATTTTTTTAGAATGATCTAGGTTGAAAGACAAAAATATCATTCACTATAAAACATAAACGATATCCATCACTAACAACTTTTATTTCTTATAATACTATCCTTAAATATGTGTAAGAAGTTTTTAACAATTCCATAACGAGAATGAGGTTATCAAATCCCAATAAAAGTATTTTAGTTTGATCTTGATATATAGAGAATGCATAAACATAACTTCTATGTTTTCTTATAGTTTAGAAAAGACAATTATTATTTATTGTTATTTTCGCCATTTGTATTGCAGCACCAAAATTTTAGAGTCTTATCGTCACTCCCAGATATTATTAGATCTTTTTTGCATAGAGGAAGTCTGCCCTACTAATTATTGAGAACATATCCAAGATTTTCTCTATTCTTTTTTATATAACCATATCATTAGGGAGTAATCTCAAGATCCAGATTTGATGAATTCTTTTATTTTTTTGAAGAAATCAAGTGTAAATATTGAGTCATTATGTCCTTTTATTCTTTCTAATTAAACAAAATTATATTAAATTAATTCAAAAACTCTGATCTCTTTTTTTCCATTCAATCAAAGCTATTTTGTTTTCTTAATTAAAAGACTATGGCATTATTATAGAATTCTATATGATTATTTCAAATGTAAAAAGGTGAAATATTTGCATCTTAAGACTCCTAAATAGAGTGATATACTCAGATTTTATCAATATTCTTTTCTAAAATTACTGACACTCCTGACATCCTTAAAAGGAACTAAATAACTCTAGGTAAATACTCATTTGATAACTTTATAATACAGTGATTAGATGAAGTTGGGTAATTTTAATTTTGAATCTCTTCGGTTTATTTATTTAATAATTAAATAGCATATCAAGTTCTTTGATAATTATCTTAAACTAATATAAATTATTAAAAGTTTTCAGCTCTTTCAGCTAATTTCTATTATAGACTCTAATAATGAATTTATATAGGATCTCATTTTTCTATAGTTTATGCAGATTAATAATTTGAGACTAAACAAAGACTAAGTCATTCATTAAATTTTCTCTGACTTTTACTTGCTTATCTCCAAAATTTACTCATTTTAATATTTTTTTTATTTTTATCAATATTTCCAATTATAGAGAACCCAATAATCTCTTTTTCAAAGAATAAGCTTTCATCTATAATATTGTACTTATTAGTTATTCCTGAGTGTTAAGTAGATGAATAATCAGTTACATAATCTAATTATTTTTGTTCCATTTTGATTTTATATATTGATAAATAATCATTTTATTTTTGCTTCTTAATTAAGCTTATA